ATCAACTTCAAGGACAGTGCATACATTATCAGAGTTGTGTTTTTTCTTCTTGGTTTTTTGGGTAAAGTCACGTAGAAGGGAAATAATAAAATAATAAAAATAAAACATAATAAAATAATTCTCACGACGTTTCGGCCACAACGCAAGCATCCGTCCTCAGGTGAAGAAACAGGTCTGTCGGGAAGACTTTACCGAAAGAACCAAGAAGATGAATCCCTGCAGTCACGAAAGCTTTAAATCGAAATAGAGTTGTGTTTTTTGTTTGCATTATGGCTGCAGGTATTGTGGTCTATGCAAACATGACTCCTTGTGAAAAAAAAGGTGTCAGTTTTGTTGCCAGATAGAAGGGTATGAAAACAATTATCAAAAAAAAGTTGTTATATTTTGTTGCTTCTTCTTCTTGCACTTTGCCTCTAAACCCTCCCTAATTTTTTTTTTTACCAAAAAGTCAAAACAGCAATGCAGACCTTGTGACAGGATCGCAACAAGAAAAAAAAAACCCAACTACACGACGTGGCCTCTAACTAACGGCACCCCCGTGGGGTTTTTGTTTTTTGATATTTCCATCCCCGGTTGGCACGTTCCCCAATTAATGTAGGCGAGCGTCAGTGACACATTAATGCAGTCAAGCGGTGGTGGCGGTGGCAGCGTTTCGGCTGTTATTCGTGAGCGGCAATCACTTTTCCCCGCCTCTCGCGTCTTTCTTTTTCTCTCTGTCTTCGTCAACCCGCAATCAGCGGCGTTGCGCCCCCCCCCCCAAACCCCCCTTGAGCGATGATTAATTGATTCGGATGCTTGGATCAAAAAAACAAAGGTTTCGCTTGGATAAATGCATCAAACGTCGAGGGTGGGTGGGTGGGTGGGGTGGTGGTGGATGCCGATGGTGAACAGCATCCGTCGCATTCTTCATCAAAGACTGAAATCTAAACTTATCATCGTCACGTGGGCATTCATAGCGGTAGTCAAATACTGTGAATGTTTAAGGAAGAGAACCGTTCCAGACGGCCGCGTGAAAGCGCCGCGCGACCGTCTTTGTTTTTCTGCCGCCACCGCCGCTGCTGCTGCTGCTGTTGTCGCTGTCGCCACCGCTGCTGCTGCTGTCACCACCACTGCTGCTGCTCCTGCTGTTGTCGCCGTCGCTGCTACTGCTGCCACTGCTGTCACCGCTGCTGTCACCGCTGCTACTGCCACCGCTGCCGCCGCCACCACTATCACCGCCGCCGCCGCCGCTGTCACCGCCACTGCTGCTGCTGCTGTCGCCGCTGCTGCTACGAGGACGACCCCGGAGTTGTCGCGACGACGGTTATACGCCCCACCTGGACGAGGCGGGGCGAGGCTTCGCGGCGTCGTTTGCGGCACCGTGATGACGAGGTCGCGTCGGGGTGTTCGTCCGCAGGCCGCGTTCCGACAGCGACCCCGATTTTGCGACTCCGTGGACGATGTCCGAGCCTGGCGAGCCGAGGGGACAGGCGGAGATGGCGCTCACCGCACCTGGAGCGCAACTCGCCGGCCACGCAGCCGCCGGAGCGAACGGCGTCAAAGGCAAGTGTCGCACGATAAGCCCGCTTGGGGCGCCACGGTGGCTGGGAGATGTTGACTACCTCGCCTGGTATGCAGGAGGTTCGTGGGTTCGATCCCTGACCCTGACGATGCCTGCTGCTGAATATTTGGAGTTTGTGGTGTCTCTCTCGCTCTCTCTCTCATCATCACGGTGGCTGGGAGATGTTGACTACCTCGCCTGGTATGCAGGAGGTTCGTGGGTTCGATCCTGACCCTGACGCCTGCTGCTGTATATTTGGAGTTTGTGGTGTCTCTCTCTCTCTCATCATCATCATCACGGTGGCTGGGAAATGTTAACCACCTCGCATGGTATGCAGGAAGGTCGTGGGTTCGATCCCGACCTTGAAGACGCCTGTTGTATAATTGGGGTCTGCGTGTGTCTCTCTTTCCCCGTGGTGAGATGTTAACGACCTCTCCTGGTATACAGGAGGTTCGTGGGTTCTATCCCGACCCTGACGATGCCTGTTGTATATTTGGAGTTTGCGTGTTCAATCTCTCTCTCTCTGCCCGTGGTGTCGCGTGGATTGTTCTCAGGGTCCTCCGGTATTTCCCTGTATATGTACAATCAAAATCCGTTGATTCTAAATGTCCACGTGATAAGCCACTTCGTTGGGTTATCATTTGCCATGGCGAGGTGGCTTCTGAAAATGAGCTACACAGTAGTGGGCCTTACTTAGTAAAAATAAAATTATTTTCGTTTTAGGCCCAAAGCAGCCAGCGATAAACAGCCACGATTGTGAAGGCGCAATCGATAAGAGATCATGCCCCTTTTATTTTAAACCGCAAAGATCGCCCGGCCAGCCTTAAGCAACAATGGAGGCGAGTGCTGTCGGTAAGTAGCAGCACCATGTTTACACACCGCACCAGGTACTCATTTGAGGCTGAGTCGATCTAAGGGAGGCCCAGGACCGGTTCAGATAATCGTCACCGGTGTTGGCCGTGAGCGGGAATTGAACCCGTGTAGCCTGTAACAGACTCAACTTCTTGGTTCTCTCGGTAAAGTCACGTAGAAGGGAAGTAATAAAATAATAAAAATAAAACATAATAAAAGAATTCTCACGACGTTTCGGCCACAACGCAAGGAGCCGTCCTCAGGCGAGACCAGGTCTGTCGAGGCGACAGCGTCTGAATGAAACAGCACACGTGCTTGGAGCATATATATAAGCTGGGTTGGAAGGGGGGGGGGGGAAGGGGGCTCCTTGACAGACTGTTGGGGCAAGTGCTGTTAGCGAGCAGCACCTATGAAGGCCGGCACGGCAAACTCGGGGCGGGCGGCCAACGCCACTTTCTCTCTCTGTCTTCGTATCCCCAGTGCTGAGATGTTGACACAGACACACCGGGTCCTCGTTTTCAAGACAAGAATCAACCGAGTGGAGAGCGGAACGCCCGGTGTAACAGGCCGTAGTATACCCCCAGGCCGTAGTATACCCGGGGTTAAAACGACCTAGGCTAGATTATACCCGGGTATATTATGGCCAGGGTCAAATTATACCCCTCTAGGCCAAATCATCATACCCCTATGATAGTAATGTGTTGAACGATATACACGTGAATTACTAAATTTTTCCAACATTTATTTAAAACTGTAAACACATAGACTTTGATTGCTTCGACCAGAAAAACTTTAATAATAACCCTAACCCTATGCCTAACCATATCCCTAACCCTAACCCTATGCCTAACCCTATCCCTAACCCTATCCCTAACCCTATCCCTAACCCTATCCCTAACCCTAAAAATGCTTCAATTGATAAAATTGAGATTCTTATTTATACGCTTTTTCGATATCGATTGAAGTTCGTTTGAACTTTCACATGGGGCATATTCTGGCCTGGAGGAGGGGTATGGTCTGGCCCAGTCTGGTTTAAACCCCCGGGGGGTATAGTTTAGCCTTGGACATTTCATCCCCCACAGGTATATACTCTGGCCTGCGCCAAACTATACCCGGGTTTAATCGGGGCAGCGGTTATTTTAGCCTGTTTACACCGGGACCGTCTCAGACACATTCGTCGTCAACGTTGGGCCTTAAGGAGCGAATAATACAAAATTCGCGTCGCCTGATTCGCACCGTGCATGCGTACGTACACACCTCCGATTAACACGGTTGGCTACGTACGGTGCGAAAGAAGTTCGAGGTACACACGTGGGCTGACGTTTTTTGTCTCGTCCATGAGGTGTTTAACCAACAACACAAAGACAAAAAGATCCCCCGTGTAGCCTTGACATACGATTGTGGCGAGTGTCTTCAGCGAGTAACAGCAGCACCTACGACAGCCGGCCGGAAACTGCGGCACACGCGGGGGTGGGTGTCCGGCACCACGCCCGACCGCCTTTGTCTGCCCGGTGGCGTCGTTTTTTTTTTTTTTACACCGCACCAGGTACTCATTTGAGGCTGAGTCGACCTAGGGGTTGGCGCATTTCCCAACGAATGTACGCGAGCGTCAATAATACATTGATGTAGTCCAGGGGTCGGGAACCTTTTTGACTGGGAGAGCCATAAAAGCCAAATATTTCTAAATATATTTCATTGAGAGCCATATAGTATTTTTAACGTATAATAAATTAAATATGTCTTACTTTTAATGCGACTTCTGGTGCCGCGTGGTTTTGCTGATGGCCTTGTAGTCTGGTTCGTACGTGGTGAGGTTGAGCTTCATGCAGGCATGACCCGTGAAATTTATCTTCAAAACTAATTTCTGTTTACTTTAAAATTACACACTATTATTAAACAATATCACAAGTATTTTAAAATCAGTTCCAAACTGATTTTTTTTATTATTATTTTTTCCAACTCAAAATTGTCTGGGAGCCATATGCCGTCACCGGAAGAGCCATATATGGCTCGCGAGCCATAGGTTCCCGACCGCTGATGTAGTCAAACGGCGGTGGCGGCGGTGGTCGCGTTTGGCTGTTATTCATGATTCTTAGTTTTTTTCGGTAAAGTCACGTAGGTAAAAAATTTAAATTAATAAAAGTAAAATAAAATAAAAATGACGACGTTTCGGAGGCAACACAAGCTTCCGTGGTCAGGTGGAACCGTCACAGCACGATAGCTGTAATCAAGTGATGTTCACGAGCCGTGAGCGGGAATCGAACTCGGTGGCCGGCGTTGTCCGTAGCGCGGCGTAGCGCTAACCTAGGGGGATGCCCCAGATACCGATCCAGATAATATTTCTATCTCGCTTTTAAGGGATTACATCTTGAATCATTGCCTCACTTGATGCAGCTAATCTGGCTGTGACGGTCCCACCTGATGACGGAGACTTGTGTTGCCTCCGAAACGTCGTGATCTTTATTTTATTTTTATTAATTTTGATGTTTTACCTACGTGACTTTACCGAAAAAAACCTAAGAATATGAATCCTTGCAGTCACGAAAGCTTCAAATCTAGAATTAACGCTAACCTACCAGCGCCACCGCTCCCCCACACACACATGCGCACGCTCGCGTGCACACACGCGCACACACGCTCACTCACACACGCTCACTCACGCGGGGATCTAATGGGGCGAGGTTAACTCGCCGCGGTCAGGGCACGGAGCAGTACAAACAGACGAGAGCAAGCGAACGTAGAAAGCAGCCGCGCAGAGGCCCTTGAAACGATTAATGTAATTCCTTTTGACTCGTCGGTAAGACTCAATGGCAGCGTTAAGGGGGGAGCCATGGGGAGCCGTACCTCCCCCCCCGCCGCCCCCACACACCCCCTCTCCACCCAACCCCTCGCTCAGTGATTTCCAACTCAAAGCGACTAATTACTGGGCCAGATACATTTTTAAACTCAACTATTTAATTTATTTTACAAGGTAAGGAAGACTTCACCCCGAGCTGCGATGTAGCTCTTTTTACAGAAGCGACCCCGGCCATCGCAGATGATGGTTCGGCCAGGTGGCTTATCATTTTATAGCAGGAGCAAAATACTCTAAACGCGTGATGTTTGTTCTAAATGTGGAGGGAAAACGCAGAGGACGCAGAGAAAAATCCACGCGACAACGGGGAGAGACAGAGAGAGACACTGCAAATTTCAAATATGCAGCAGCAGGCGTCAGGTTCGGTGATCGAACCCACGACCTCCTGCATACCTGGCGAGGTAGTTAACATCTCCTAGCTACCATCATGATGACGATGATGAGAGAGAGAGACACACCGCAGACTTAAAATATACAGCAGCAGGCATCGTCGGGGGGGGGGGATCAAACGCACGACCTTCTGTATACCAGGCGAGGTAGTTAACATCTCCTAGCCACCGTGATGATGAGAGCGAGACACCGCAGACTTCAAATATACAGCAGCAGGCATCGTCGGGGGGGAGATCAAACGCACGACCTTCTGTATACCAGGCGAGGTAGTTAACATCTCCTAGCCACCGTGATGATGAGAGCGAGACACCGCAGACTTCAAATATACAGCAGCAGGCATCGTCGGGGGGGAGATCAAACGCACGACCTTCTGTATACTTGGCGAGGTAGTTAACATCTCCTAGCCACCGTGGTGATGATGATAATGAGAGAGAGACACCACAGACTCCAAATATACAGCAGCAGGCATCGTCAGAGGGGTGATCAAACGCACGACCTCCTGCATACCAGGCGAGGTAGTTAACATCTCCTAGCCACCGTGATGATGAGAGAGAGACACCGCAGACTCCAAATATACAGCAGCAGGCATCGTCAGGGGGGGGGATCAAACGCACGACCTCCTGCATACCAGGCGAGGTAGTTAACATCTCCTAGCCACCGTGATGATGATGAGAGCGAGACACCGCAGACTCCAAATATACAGCAGCAGGCATCGTCAGGGGGGGGCATAAAACGCACGACCTCCTGCATACCAGGTGAGGTAGTTAACATCTCCTAGCCACTGCTGGTGGACGTATCTTCCCTGGAGGGAGGCTTTCGGTTAGAGAGTCCTGTGTCAACCTTTGTTGGCTGTTAACCCCCCTTGTTGAATTTCATTTCAACCGAGTACTCCCCTTTTGCACGACC